CCTCCGGGAATCAGCACCCTGTGCATCAACAAGTCCTCCCCACTCTTCCTACAAGCATTTCCTTTATACCAAGTACATGCTTATAGCTCCCACCCAGACAGACTTGAAATTAATTCCTGGTCTCCTTATTCCCACATTAGTCCCCCCCTTTCTATCCACAATGAGAGCTAATATTCAAGTTCTGTTTCCTTTTAGAAAACATTTCATGAAATTACACTTACAGTGATCTTATACTGGTTTTTCATAGCATTTGTCTAAAATAATCTTTCTGGCATTAAATCATATATAAATTATTTATGTATTTATTTATTTTTGTCTTTCTGAACTAACCAAAAATTCTTTGATGTCAGTAAAGAGACTTCATTTTTCTTGCTTATTTTCATGTATCCTTCCATTTATCTATTTAGTGAGCCCTTCTTTGTACACAGCACTATACCAGGTAGTGAAGAAGGCTACTGTACTTAGACATAGTAAGTCCTAAGCAAATATTTGTGGGTTAATAAATTGTACCCCTTCTCTTAGCAAGTAACATATTTAACTAATAGGGAAAAAAGACTTTTAAGCTCTTATAATTTTAGCTCATTTGACCACAGAAATCCTATAAATTTTAAATAGTCCCCAGGAGTCAACAGTAGGAAGTTTCAACTATTGGGTTTCAGATAGATTTTATTATATATTCACTTGCTCATATTCTTGAGAATTTAATGTCACTTTTGTAATGGCTGCTAAAAGAATGTTATTGCCTTTTTCAACCATACATTTTATCCTTCAGTTTGACATAAAATGCTATAAATAAATCAGACAGAAAGCTATTTAGCTACTTGACATCTATAATAACAGGGGGTGTGTTTCTATAAGGCCAGATTTATAAATAGGCAGAGACTCCCAGATTTTGTTATTATAATTTAATTGCACAAACTTCTGTTGAGGGTTTGCATCGTTTAGCTAACAAATATGTCCATAAAATAAGCATTATGATATAATACATATTCAAACAAATGAATAAATGTCACTGTGACTGTTCTCTTGAATTGCAACAAACAATAAGTGGTATAGTCCCTGATGTTTACTTCAATTGGCCCTGAAGGGATGGATAGGCTGCTGGGTAATCACCATGGTTACTGATTCACTCTTCATGCGAGCATGGTACCATCTATCATATAGCCCCCATCCATCATAATATACAGCAGGGATGCTCTTCATGCAGCTTTAGGTTTAAAGAGACTGCTGATTTTTGTTTAAGGAGGGGCTTGGAATGCAGCTCAGTTGGTAGAATCCTTAGCTAGTACACACGAAGCCCTGGGTTCAAACTCCTGTACCACATAAACACAACATGGTGGTGGTACACACCTGAGGTGGAGGCAGGAAGATCCGGAATCCAAAGTCATCCTTGATTGCATAGCTAGTTTAAGGCCAGACTGGAATATACAGACTTTATCTTTAAAAGGAAGAGGATAAAAGGAACATCTTTAAAGAGAAAATATTATTTTAATTGTGTCAGATTGAGAGTGAGAACTTGCAAAGCCAATTTCAGCCTCTGAATAACACTCCTTGCTTCCAGAGAGGATTTACTTTCTGCTTCCATTAGTTATCTGGGCTAAGGGCAGATCTCCTAAATCCAGCTGAGGATGGAAATAATTCTAATTTAGGCTCCAGTCCTTTTGAGACCTGGCCTTTCCAAGGGATTCTGGGAGCTCTGCTTAACTTATCTGCCTTTGGCCTTTGACATTCAGCAGGCATCTTGTGGGAAAGAGCAGTCCCAGCTCAGCGCTGTGCTTCCTGCTCCTGTTCTCATCCTCTGCCTCCCCTGCCTCCTCACCCTGCCTCCTCACCCCTGCCTCATCACCCCTGCCTCCTTACCCCTGCCTCCCCTGCCTCCTCAGCCCCCTGCTTCCCCTGCCTCCTCACCCCTGCCTCCCCTGCCCCCACAGCTTTCAGTGCCTCACACAGGTGACCTATGCATCTTGTTTTTCTTGCCTTCCTCTCAGGAGGCTTGCTTTAAATCCATGCCCCGAAGTAGAGGAGCTCAGGGCCCTGCTTTGATGACTCCTGTCACTTTCCCTGTCTTAGCTAAGAAGCTTAGATTGATACTCAATAGCTCAGTATCTCCTCTTCCTCTCTTGCTCATTCAGCATTTATAAAAGGTTCTCTCAAAAATCTCACTTTATTCCCACTCACTGACTTTGCTTATGATTGTGCAAATTTCTATCAGGGACCAAGTCTGGTCTTGAACTGGATGGCACAACACAAAATATCTTGGAGCTCAAACAGTTAAACTGGAATCCCTATCTGAATCTATATTATTTACTTCTGTGTCGCTATGAATAAAATAACAGACAAAACATCTTAAAGCAAAGAATTATCATCTTTTTTTTCTTTTACTTTTTTTTTTCTTTTTCTTTTTGGCTCAGTCACAGAAGATTTGGTCAAGATTTGGTCATGCTTTGGATGGAACATCATGGCAGCTGAAGCATGCTGTAAAATCACTTCCTCACCTCATGGCTAATGAGATGCAGAGAAAAAGGTCCAGGGACTAGGTAACACCTTCAAAGACATGTGACCTGTGACCTACTTCTCCCAACCATGTCCCATCTGGAAATTTCTAGTATCTCCCTTTCCCCACCAAGCAGTAACTATGGTGATAGCTTGTTTGTGCAAATAAAGGGTGTCTGAAGATCAGAGGATGGAGCTTGTCACTAGCTAACCATGGAGATCTGTACAGACAGACAGGAAGTAAGGTAGCTTGGAGGAGAAAGGAATATAGGCTTTCTTCTGGAAGTTGGTGAGGTAAAGGTGGCTTTGGCTTGCTCCTCCTTCTCTCTGATCTCTCAGCATTTTCCCCTATATCTGAGTCTGGGCTTTTATTATTAAGACCCATGAGAACTTGAGTTATAAGCAATAGCCCTGAGAAATTAACATTCAGCATGTACATTTGTGGAGAGCATTTCTTATTGAAACCACAGCAGAACCCCTCACCCTGTAATGACAAAAGAGATGCCAATGAGAGAGGGGGTCTTCTAGGAAACCATGATATCCACATGTCTAGCCAACAGAGAAAAGATACTCATTTTGTGCTATGACTTAGTCAAAAATTTACTCCTTTACCCAATGGGGACTAACTGGAAGCTTTCTCATACTGGCTGTCAACTCAGAGCATACTTAGTGAAAGTGGGAGAGGAGGAGTCTAGCACCACAGACAAGGTGGGAAGCCTTCCAACAGAAAGCAAAACCAAACAGCAAACAGTTCATAGGGCGAGTCTCAGCAATGAGAAAGACATCCTGATGGGGGATGCCCTTATGTTTCTCTTATTGGTTGATGAATGAAACACTGATTGGCCAATGAGCCAGGCAGAAAGCATAGGCGGGACTACCAGACCAATTGGGAGAGGAGGGCAAAGAGGAACAGCAGAGAGATACCATGTTGTCAGAGGAATAACATGCCAGATTACAGGTAAGCCATAGCCTTGTGGCAATACATAGGTTAATAGAAATGGGTTAATAATTAAGGTAGAGCTAGCCAATAAGAAGTCCTAGCCATTGCCCAACAGGTTATAATTAATAGACATCTCTGTGTGTTTATTTGGGGCTGAAGGGTGGCAGAACCTGGTGGGACAGAAACCTCCAGCTACAATATCCTGTTTAAAGGAGACTGTTAGCTTATGAGAAAAGAAAGCCATGCCACAGATCATGTGATCAGTTTATCGCAGCCAAATGATGCTGGATGTAGAGAAAAGACTTGGAACGTAGTCAATAAACCAAACTAACAAATCATAATAATCAAGACTGGGAAAGCACAAAGAGACACACGACCTAGCTGTACAGCTTGGGAATAAAGACACCAAGTGAGTTTCCATGGGCCACAGCAGCAGTGTATTGCTTTCACAAATTATTTGTGTCCAGGTGGCTAAAAGTTCCCCAAGTAGAGTAGATAACTGATTGGTTGATTGATTGTTGACTGACTGACTGAAAAAAGTTCTTACTATGCGTAGGACCCACTATGTAGACCTAGAACATGTGGCAATCACCCTGTCACTGCCTCAATGCAGGAAGTACAGGGTAAGCTAATACATTCATCCTGCAGATGGCTCATGAATGGTGGCCTGGCAGCATTGTTTTGCCAAATTGATGGTACTTCAGTGGGTTAATTGCTGGAGAAATTCGGGTTTGTGAATGTAGCTTGTGTAATAAAAACTAGAGAAAAAATTAGAAGAAGCTATGTAGAAAACAAAAAATTATTAGTTTTCAATTTATTTTAATTAATATTTTTGAGTCTGAGTGTGTATTTAGTGTGGGGTATAAGTGTGTGGTGTGTTGACTGTGGGTGTGCCAGTGTATGAACACGGAGGCCAGAGGATGCTGAGTGCCCTACCCTATTACCCTTCATTGTATTCCATTGAGACAGGGTCTCTCACTGAACTTGGAGCTAGGCTTGTGGCTAGCAAGTTCAATGATCCTCCTGTCTCTACTTCCCACAGCACTGGGAATGCTAGTGCACAGAACCATGCCCAGCTTCTCATATGGGTTCTGGGGATTTGAACACAGTTCTTCACGATTATACAGCAAGCACTTTAAACCCTGAGCCATCTCCTCCATCCACTTTTTTGTTCTAAAGTAATTGGCTCATGGTCAGTTCTCTTCTTTCCATGCTTTCCCAGAATCCCTTGAAGCTATTACATTTTATTTACAAAATAAATATTGAGCAAGTGGAAACGACACAAAGAACTGACATCAGTCTAACACACACACAGCAAATGGCATAATAAAAGCTTTCCTTTGAACTTCGATTTTTTTTTTTTTGGAGTTAATTCCAGTAGCAAAATTATAAATGCCTGCATCAGCCACTGGAATATAGTACAATAGTTTCACAAGATTGTAGAGTTCAGCTTTTCTGGTTTCTGGTTAGCCCCTCCCACTTTTCTTGTAAATGCTGCTTTTATTCTCCTAAAACCAAATGGGTGATAATTTTTTTCACTCATATTTTTCGAAACTTTGTTTTTTACCTGAAATTCTCATATTCTTGTGCTTGCCGTCTCCATGGGCATTTCTGGATGTTTGTGATGATCTGGAGGTAGTCGTCCTCTGAATACCTGGGAGTTGAACATCAATAAGATTAGACAAGGAAGTTTCATGGGGCACTCTGAGGACGCATCTGTCTCTCCTCATTTCAGCCCTGAGTCAAGAAAAATCATTAAATATCATACCTATTCCCAAGTGCCTAGGTGCATACAGCTTGAAATTTGTTGTTACTAGTATGCTGGATTAAGAATGTATATACTGCAGATCTCATAAGCCAAGTTCAGCTTTACAACCAGTGACCATGTTCTCTCTATGTGTCTCCTTTCCTCTGTCTGTCTCTGTCTCTGTCTCTCACACACATACACAAAAGCAATCTTAGAACCCCCTGCACATACACACACAAGCACACACACACAAGCACACACACACACACACACACACACACACACACACACACACACACGTGCATAATCATCTGGTTTTAATTATCTGCAATACATTAAAAATCCAGACTGTGCTATGGTGAGAAAGCTGTATAGAGGCATAAAAAGCTATAGACAGTGACATAGTCTGATAAGATGGCATGGGACAAAAATCCCAGATCACTTAGATCTCTCTCATTCTGAAATTCCATCATTAAGTATTAATTCCTAAAGCACAGAGTGCTGTTTCATCTTTAAGGGTGTTCATTTGAAATGCAAATATCCCTCTAAATTGAGAGAGACAGGGAAAAAAAAAACACCTTGAGTTTTCTTTCCATTCCTCTCTCAGCCATCAGGTTGCCAGGCATTAAAGATCAAAGCTGTGCTACAGAGGGGTGGGGGAGAGAAAGAATGTGTTGGTGAGTATGTGGAGAAGAGAAAGGGCCTGCACAGCTTTGCCTGGAGGAAAGAGTCCATTACCCATAACAACACAATGAAGACTCTCCAAGGTTATCTCTAAAAGGAAGCATTTCTACCAGGCAGGGGTCTAGTGGACCACAGAACTGCTTTGTAGCTGAAATTTACCTTCCTCTTGGGTTTCTCCCTCCAACAATGCTAGCACCAGGGATCAACTTGATTCCCACTGACTGTGCAGATGAACCCAGAAAAATCTAAGAACATAGTGAATACTGAAAGCAAAGCAAAGAGCTGCCACCCAAAGGATTAAAAACAGTTTTAAGTGCACAGTTCCCCAACACAGCCGACTCACATAAATCACTACATGGGTCTAGTACTCATCTTAGTACACTACATCACAAGAGCCCCACGTTCCGACCTCCAAACTGTCTAGATGAGAGATTTCCAGGCTGAAGTGTAGTACCTGCCTCACAGGGTTGAGGGCAGCCAAAGACCTTTTGCAAATGACTGCTACACTAAATTTAAAGATACCCATTCAGCAACTTCCCGAAAGCATTCCTAATTCTGGATCCTTAAGATATCCACTGCTGGGGTTCATGAGTTCCCCCTTGTTCATCGATACTCCCTCTCTGCAACTGGATTCCAGGGGTTTGGCTCAGTGCTTAGCTGTGAATCTCTGCTTCTGCTTACATCAGCTACTGGAAATGATGTGACAGACTTTGAAGATACCCCATGGAAGGCCTCACCCTCCCTGGGGAGCAGAAAGGGGATGGGATGGGAGTTGGTGGGGGGCAGGCAAGGAGGGGAGGGAGATGGAACTGGAATTGACATGTAAAACAATATTGCTTCTACTTTAAATTTAAAAGAGAAGAGAAAAAGAAGAAAAAAAAAGATATCCACTGCTGTGACATCTTTCCTGTCTAGAGAAGTCTTATCAATTACTAAGGCATAGCTTTAAATCTTTTCAGGATGTTATCAGGACATTTAGAGCACTGTACATACAAAAGCCATGAACCAAGGTAACAAAACATCTTTTGTTCACTAGTTCCATCAGAGGAAAGGAGAGAGAAGGCCAAACATAGTCTAATTAAACCAATGAGAATTGAGATTGTGTTTGAAGCCAATATAAAGCGTAATTGGAAGATAAAGGAAATAGAAAGCTATTGTCTTATCATCAAACTAGATGTACCTGAGTCTAAATTTTTGGCATGCTATTTATGAGACAAAAGAGAAATGAAATGTTTTATGATGTATGGCTCAGGTTAGTGCACTTGAAGATTGAGCAATAAAAACTATCAAAAATTAAAAACAAATGCAGCAAACTAAAGGAACTGTGAAGAAGCTGCTCCGGGAAGTATAAGCCTATAATTCCAGTATGCAGGGGCTGCTGAGACAGACGGATCATGAGTTCGAGTAGAGCCAGGCTCTGTAACAAGACCCTACATTGCTTTAACTTATTGACAAGTAAATACAAACTTTTAAAAGAAGAGAAAAATTAGAGACAGTCAACCTTAAATCATTTGGTATCTGTATAATTGTAGTCCTCATTACAGAGAAGAAATGCATCTTCAAAGTCTGATGGGATTTATCACCAAAACTAATGAAAACTATAAATCTATACACCTAAGAATTCCAACAAACACAAAGAACAAGGAAGAAAATGACAACATAAGAATGAATTCTTAGTGGCAGCAAAAGAAAACCCTAAAATGTAATGAAATACAACACAGTATTACAAAGAAGCCACAGCCTGCAACACACTTCTTGTTCAAAAGAATGGGAGCAGTAAGGCAGTGAATAGTGACAGTAACAGCAGAATGGGGCTGGGGGAAGCTCATTTTAGAAATCTATACTCAGAAAAATCTTTCCAAAAATGAAGGTAAAAATAAGGACTTTATCAGCAGCAATGTTGGAGGAAGTCTCTCGGCAGAGCAGCAAGTAAGGGATCCGGGTTGACAAATCGTAATGAAGAGCTCTAGAAATAGAATATGTAAACACATAAGGAACCTGTGCCTTTCTTTCCTACTGTTCTTTAAAAGGCAACTGAGAGCTAGGAAATGGATCAGTCCTTGCCTGGAAAGCAAGTTTGATTCCCAGAGCCCAGGTAAAAATGATAGCCAGGATGGCACACATGTTTGTATTCCTGGCAGGAATGTGCATTCAGCAGGATCCCTGAGGCTTGATGACTGCCAGTCCAGCCTGTTTGGTGAGACCAATACTATGAAAGAGACTCTGTCTCAAAAGAGGTGGACAGTGTTCCCAAGGACAATACCCAAGACTGATCTCTGTCCTCTGGCATGTGGACTCCCACCCCCAACACAATTTAAGTATATATATAAAAAATAAAACAAGGAAAAATGACAGTTTAAAGATAGTAAAAATAGATGGAAATAATTATAGCATTTGTAAAATAAATATAATCACAATTACAGAATAAAGCCTAGATTGCAAGGGTGGAGTGGAGGAAGCAGGAGCAGAAGATGTAAAAGTCATTTGAAAGGAGACTACAATACAAAAAGATATGTTTGCTGTATCTAACATAACCAGCAAGAGACAAAGAATGCAGTCATAAAATTACTCAAAGCAAGAGGAAGTGGATAAGAAGAAGCAAAGAACAGGCAAATGGAAAACAAACAGCAAGAAGGTAGAATAAACACAACTATATGAACAATAACATTAAATGCAAATGATCTAGGCACACCCATCAGAAGGCATGGAATGGCAGACTGAATTTTTTAAAGAAGTAAAGTATATGGGGTTTTTGTTTTTTTAAATTATTTTTTTGCAAAACCAACATCATACAAGCAAGCAAAGTGTAGGTGTGAAAGAGAAGAAAACATTAGAAAGATAACCATAGTAGAGATAATTTTTAAAAAGTTTGAGTGGCTATAATTACAGTCAAGTCCAAGAAATATTACCATATAAAATCAATATTAATGAGCAAGGACTATTATCATGAAAATAGGGTAAGATCAGAAATAAAACTTATAAGCCTGTTGCCAGCCTGCCTGACCTAGGAAAAGTAGAAGATAGAAATGAGCAATGTTGGGAATGAAAGCCCAAAGAGAAACTGTCCTAATGATATCATAATGTGTCAACAGCAGTTTGGCTGACTTAAATGCAATGGATGTATTTACTTAAAGGTAAATATACCAAAACCCTCTCAAGTAAAAACAGTTGAATAGTATCACTGCTATTATAAAAACTGCAATGAAAATACTCTCTGAACAGAAAACAGGCACACAAATGGTTTCACCAATTTCATCAAACATTTTAGGACTGTTAATACAAAATATACATTTATGCAAACTCCTCAAAACCTGAAAGGCTAGGTATCTCCCAGCTTACATTATGAGAACAGTGTTGCCCTGATCCCAAAGGCAGGCTAAAAATATTGTTTATAAGCACACATAGAAAAATGTTTAACAAAAGCTTGTTGAATTAAATCCAGTGGTGCATAAGAAAAGCAAGGGTCCATGAACAAGTGTCAGGAATACAAGGTTGGTTATGAGAAATACCAAACAATGCAACTCACTACATTAAATAATAATGAAGATCCCCGTCACAATTTTAACACATGGAAATAGAAACACCTTTCAGCACAGCCTCCCATTCAATCACCACAAAAATGTTCAACAAATCTAAAAACAGAAGGAATTTTCTCACTTCAATGACTGGTGCTCACAAAAACAGTCTAGGGCTAAGATCATACGTCATGGTCAAAGCTCCCAATAGTGAGGAACATAGAAGGATGTCCATTTTCTCCAGCTGTCTTCCATTTGCACTGGGGGTCCAACCAGAACAATAATGTAAGACAAAGGAGCAAAGCCATCAGATTAAAAGAAGGAGGTAAAACTGTCTCTACTCAGAGCTCAGAGATAACACCATCATCTACTGAATCTACAAAAAAGCTACTAAAATGAGTAACTTAGCAACTCAACACACTTAGTCAATTACATTGGAAGCAATGACTGGAAGTAAAATGCAACTGAGAAACAGCCTAAAATAATTGGAACTAAGACTATCGATATCCCTATATAGATTAACATTTAAAAACATTAACATGAAATATAGAGGTATAAATTCGACCAAAATGTGTAAGGCTTATGACTTAAAAGTACAAAATTCTGTAAAGAGAAATTAAAGAACTAAGTAAATGGGGCCATATCTCATGTCCATTGCTCAAAAGACTCAAGATTGTCAATTTTTTAACTTTACCTAGAGATTTTGTG